CGGTATTGGGTTGAAGGACAAACCTTACGAAGATAGACTCCAGCAGTTGGGATTATTCCCCCTGAGTTACAGGAGAATCAGAGGTGATCTGGTTATGACGCACAACATATTAAGCACGCCAAACCATCCCAACGTGTGCATCTGACCGGTGCATCACCAGCACTTCTCTCGAGATAGTCCTCGAAAACTTGCTAATCGAAAAGCAAACACCCAGGTTTGTACACATTTTTTCTCATTGACAGTCGTCGCAACTTGGAATGCTCTCAAAGCTGAGGTGACCACAGTCCCCTCATTTGACAGCTTTGAGAAGAGACTTGATATACTCACAAACGGATTATCATCTCCAATTATCTCTGTTTTCTCTCCCTTGCTTACACTTCATTCCACTCGCTCAATCTCCACTATCAATTATTAAACTAGATTATCCATTTATTTACTTAGTTCTGAAATCTTATTCTTGTTAGCATTAGATTTTTCTCCTTATAATCCTCCACATCCGTGTGATATTAAACACTAGGTAAGAATCGTTGCTAATCTTCTGGGTCCTTATTATGTTAGACGTGTTGATCAATGTCATGGGGACACAGTCATGATATACGATGTCATTCGGTAATCTTCAAATACGACCCGATGATTTGCAACTCAGATTCAATCAGGAATGAATTTTACAACGTTTAATTGATCTCAAGAATGTTCATTCAACGAATATTCTAGTTCCGATCAAACATCTGTATGCAGAGGTTGGACGTCTAAACAGAATATTGTGGATGGCTAATGATCGCCCGATGGTCACAGGCCAGATAGCGGTGATCCTCTTATGAAGAATTATATAAACCACAATCTCCTCCTATTGAACACCAACTCCGAGTAAATTCGTCGCCCTAGTACCTGGTGTCCTGGGATGTAAATCAAGAGCAAATTTATGCTGGATTTCATGGTATAATTTTGCAGGGCTGAGTAAACACAAGGACAGAGTGTTTGAATTTTCCATTGGCATATCAATGAGGATAATGCTTCAATAATAATCTGGGTAAAAATTATAAAATTCCTTTTTCATTGTCTACTGTCATGTGACAGGAACCTTCTCCTCTAACCGTAGAGAAAGAACAAACAGCGAGTGCAAATCAGTGAAATTTTTTTTACTGTCTCATTTAAAAGATATTGGATATTGGATCTTTACGATATTTGACTACAAACCTTTCCAGTGAATTGTCAGTAAATGTAACTCGTTGCCCCAACTCGTGATTGAAGTTTTATCTGTCGACATTATCTAAGAAACGCTAGATTAACTGAGAGATAGAAATCCTTAGCATTAAAATAGGCCACGCAGCCTCTTTTTACTAGCAAACTGAAACTAAAATATATTGAACATCAAGCAACCTGACTTATTATTCGTTAGTCGACCGAAGCGGTTACTTTGGTTCAGCGTGCTTGATCCTCGGCCATGGTACAGTCAGGGACGAAAGCGAGAAGAACTGCCAGAAAAGGTGTTGCTACTCGAGAATATACCATCCATTTACATAAAAGAATTCATGGTATCGGTTTTAAAAGGCGAGCTCCCCGAGCTATCAAGGAAATAAAAATGTTTGCCAAGAAAATGATGGGCACGGAAGATGTTCGAATTGGTGTGCGGCTGAATCAGTAAGTTCATATATAGTTGTATTTACTATATATAGATTTATATGGTCCAAAGGTGTCCGCAATGTTCCATATCGTGTCCGCGTGAGACTTGCCCGCAAAGCTAACAAAGATGCAGACAGTGTACATAAGTTCTACACTGTAGTCTCCTACGTACCTTGCACTGACTTTAAAGGAAAGCAAATAATTAACGTTGAGTCAACAGAGTAAATCTGTTGTAAATAAAGTTTTAAAGTGGACTAACAATTTGTTGCATTTATTTTCTCTTGCGTCTGCTCGAAACTGGCGTTGAAATATGTCCATCTACACTATATTCTAGGGTCTCGCAATAAAACTCCATGTTTGTAGACTCACTTTAGGATGCTTTCGGATTAGTTTCAGCAAGGGAATCACTTTGGCACCTCGGTATGAACCCAGTGTAGCCTGAGTTCTCACGTATTCTTATTCGTCCTCGTTGAGATGCAAATCGAATTCGTCATCGTAAGCTCCACGTAACAATTTTTACAATTTGATGTCATGGTTCACATTGTTGGGTAAGGTGTAGGTCGATTTGCAGTGGGTTTAGATGCTGTTAAGCCAGTTTACATGAATTGCGATTAATAGCGAGAATGCCCAGGTTACTTTCTCACTAAAAAGAGACACTTCTAATGGTTTTACTTTGCTATATGGTACTAAACAATCGTAATATTTATGTTGGGTACTTTAATTGTCAACTGGGTGTCGTTGGTTTCACTTGAATCGAACATACGTGGGCCGGTGCTTTAGTATTAGCCAATTTGTTGAGCATCGGGTTTCTGCAAATGATGTCTTAGTTGTTGTAAGTGGACTGGTTAAGCGATTTTACACCTCAGGTCTTTTTGGGACCACTTAGTTTTCAGTGTAGTAGGTAGTTTTTCACGAGAATTAATACTCATCATGATTCGGTGTTTGGAAATTTTTCGACTCCAATTTAAGGGCTTGTATCAACACTGCACGGTTCTGTCCAACCAAACGGGTCTAGTGTTTTGCGTCGCAGTTCTCCTTACCTCATTTGGCAAGTGCGGCGTTCGAAAACACTTGGGCTACAATCATTTTAGACCCAGTAAATTATTAACAGTACGACTTAGTTCAGGGTTACTGATTGGGGTAGATTTTCTGGTGAGTGTTTCCTCAACTGCTTATTAGATTATCGTTGGTCTAGACATCACCGAGCCTGCCTTAAATGGTCATCAAAAAGGTCAAGGAATTAAAGGTATCAGTCAGTCTACTTAGACATCAGTTTGACTGACGCCCTGCTAAGTTGTGTATTCTCCCCGTTTGAGATCGACGCAATGCTTGTAACCAAATGTCAAGGACGCTGAGTATCATGGCTTAAAATTCGGTCGCATCCACTCTTTTGTCATATATCTTGAGTTGTCTATCCTGGCCCCAGATTCCTGTACCTCATTTATCTTTTCAGACTACCTCATCTTCGGATTCTCTATCGTGCTATTAATTACCATTAACTAAGGTGTAGCGATGGTAACCGATGCAAACTGGTATACGGTCTTGAATTGGTAATTATT